AACAGAAGTCATCTCAGGACACCGAACAGAGCAAGTCATTTATCTGAGGAGCAGACTGCTTTGAGTTTAACTTCATAGTAGACTCATCTTGAGCAAGCATGAAGGCGACAGTGGAAAGGAAAAACTCCCTCATGAGGAAGAACTTTTAGCAGAACCAGGCTCAGGACAAGCGGCCATCTGCTTCGACCATTTGGGTTTGGTAGGAACAGATACACAATGGCAGGTCAAGAATCAATGTTAAAATAGAAACAATATCAAATGAAAACTATTCATTTGTAACAATTAATTTAAGTAAATGAGGTTGATTTGTCCTCCATTAGTCTAAGCCTAAGGCATCATATCAATCCAACCCTAACTATAGGATTTATCAAAAAGGAAAGTCTTAAAACTGGACAATGCGTCAGCCTCACGGACAGAAACAGGAAGTTGATTCGACAAGAGAGGAGCCTGACGACTGAAAGATCTTCCTCCCATTCCGCTCTTGGAAACTCTAGGAACCACAAGTAAGCCTGCAGTTTGAGAGTGAAGTGCTCTGTTAGAAAAACACGTAACGATAAGCTCTGTAAGATAAGATGGAGCTAGGTTGTTGAGGGCTTTGTAGGTTAGAAGTAAGATTTTGAATTCTATTCTGGATTTGACAGGGAGCCAATGGAGAGAAGCTAAAACTGGAAAGTTCCTGTTGCCTTCGTCCGAGCTAGTTTCAAACCAACACAAGAGAAAAACAGTCAGTGGATCACAACTATTTTAAAACCAACTGGTTTCTAAAAGTTGGACTCAAAATGGGCCGAAATATGGAAGTATTTCAAGTTGGCTGACAATAAAATGCTTTGTTCACCAATATTTTATATTTTTGAACACAGTTAGGCACCAAGTACAGATCAAGTTCGGGGCGAGGCTGGGAACAAGAGTACCAGTTTTTATCTCCATCTTAGACCTCGAAGACAGTGAAAAGACTAAACAAACAAAAAAAAAAACAGGCTCGACTTCCTGCTTCTTAAAGCTGAGATTAAGTAAACCCAACGTTTTGTTAAATGTTGACACTAGAGCTCTTTGACAATTGGTAGCAAAGCAAACAAAAGAAAAACGGGAGTTGTGTCAAACAATTCAAACCTTCATCTGCAGTAAATATGGAGCAGAATGTGGCTTTCAACGGAACGATGTTTTAAATGTAACCAATAAAAATTAATAAATGTATAAATGTAAATTAATGCTCATTCTTGCAGCAAAGTGTTCAGCAACATTGGGTTTGATTTGATTGAGTAGTTTGTTTTTCACCCAGAGTTGTGAAAGCAAGTTCTCACTGGCTGCTGATGTTGGATGATGTTATTCTTATTTTTTTTATGTATTTTAGAGCAACATGCACATATACAGAGTGACTGAAAGATTCTCACGTTGCTCACATTCAATCTGACTTTGAGGTTCAATAGGTTGTTCCAATGAATTTGCGTTTTGTAAAAAAAAAAAAAACACTAATAAGGAAATTGTGATCCACCCGGAAATAAACCACTTCTTCAGCAGGAAATTAAATTGCACATGGAGATTCAGATTATTTGTTGGATCTCTGGGGCTGTTCAAACCTTCAGGCAATGAGCCTTTAAAACAGATCAAAATGCAACTTATCTGTGATTCAAGCAGTTATTTAAGTCCTCATTAGAGTCAAACGAGTCTCCGTGCTGTGCACAATAAGGTCTCAAATTATGCATGTTTTGTCTGCGTTTCAATCAGTGTATGCATGTGCATGGTGGGGGTGGGGTGGGGGGTGCATATAGGGTAGGACCATGAGGAGACAGGAAAAGCACTGGTGCACAAAAAACAAACAAACAAGGATCCAAGCTGCGATAATTAAGCCCTCATTAGTCCTAGTTATGCGCAGCAGAGCGGCAGAGCGGCAGACATCACCGTCCTGTCTGACCGACCGTGGCCAAAGCCCGGAGCTGGTGCGGACCTCTGCTCGGCGCTGTTTACCCAGAGGCCCTTTGTGTTTCCACCTCAGCTGTCACACACAGGAAGATGACTGTTTCACATCAATTTAGTAGCAGAGAGAAAGGGCCCCACAGCTGATAGCTGAACAACTCGGTGTGTTGAGTTTGGCCACCGGTCAAATGTGCGTTATCGAAGAGCAGCGGGTGCTATCTTTGAGGGAACCGAGACAGGTGGTTTGACCACCGATGGAAAAAAAGTAGTAAGGGTACAGCACGGTTTGACTCGACTTGGCACCGTTCCAAGACCTTTCCACTTGTAATTATTGGTGGAACCGGCCCCTTTTTCAGTCCCTTTTTCTCTGGGGTTCCAACCATACCGTACTGGCCTTAAAACGTGACGGGAGCACACGAGGCCAGGGTCCGGGCTTTGGCCTCACGCGCACCTGCAGTCTCCGATCTGAACCTGCCCACTAGAACGTCACTGAAAGTATAATGGAAACACAAATCATACCGTGCCGAGCCGAGTCGAACTGTGCTTTACCGGTACTAATGGAACCAATGGAAAAGAGGCACTGGTGTCGGCTTTTATCTGCGCCCATCACTTCCCACTTCACCTATCTCTTGTTTTATATTGGTTTGTTTTTACTTCTCACACTTCTCCCTTCATCTTTTTTTTTTTTAAATCTTTTATTCAAACCCCAGCTTGGATCTACCATACCATTTTATTTTTAGAGCACTTAAACAGCAACAAGGCCAACCAAAGTGCTAACTAACTTCTAACTAATGGAAAAGGGGCTCAAGAAAAGAAGGCAGTGCTTAGCTCTGTCATTACTCCCTCCCCTGAGGCATCTCATTTACTACCTTTGTAACCACATACCCATGACCATCCAGTGGGCAATGCATGCACACGTCATCCTGCACACAAGGCCCCCCAGGGTCATACCTGGCATTACGAGACGCATCTGCAAACGCTCCATGATCAGTTTAAGGAACATCAAGGAATGCATTTCTAACTAGAGCCAACAGGGCCTGACTGACTGGCTTGTTTTACTCTACGTGACTTGATAACAGAATTTCAGGATGTGAACAAACCGCCTACCCCTACTTTCCTCAAAGCAACAAGAGCTCCTAAACGAAGCCGCGACTCGAGCCAATCGATCTGCGGCGCCTTGCCTGCAAACACAGAGCCAGCTCATACAGGTTAAAGTCTTGGCACCTGTTGCATTTGAACAACAGAGCCTCAGTACCTGGGAAACCTGATAACAGTGGTTAAGAGCTCTCAGTGGCTCAGGCTGTGTCAACAATGCCCCCCTCCCCGCCTTTTATACTTTACCCAGGCATGAGCACATACGAGGGAAACTCGGCTCTTACGCATGCAGGAAGAGAGCAAACTCCTGGTTCTTGTTTTATGGTCAAACGGAGCTGCTACATCGACAAACACCCGCCACAATAAAACTACAGCTTGGCCTACAAAAGTTCTGTGCAAACAGAACAAGCTTCAGTTCTCACAGCTTGCAAAAGTTGGGTTTTCTCTGTGCTAGTTTTACCTCGGGAGGTGTAAACTGGCAGATGGAGTTGGACTCTTGCGTCTGCCTGAATTCTTACTGTAGGGCGTAAACAGATCCAGTCAAAGCCAGTGTCTAAAGCCCTCCTCTATTATCCTCTGCAGCTCCATTCCTGGACACACCCTTCTTCTCTCCAGCACAGAAGGAGAGGCTTTTGTGTACGAGTCCTGCTGAGACCCATAAACACACCACTGACGGGCTCCCACTCTGCACTTTTTGCAGCGTTCCCCTGTTGTTTACTACGCTTGTCTGAGGTCCAGTTTGGCACATTTGTATTACAGCTGCAGTTTCACAGAGCCAGCTGGGCGCACGACGACCGTGATCCTGAACACGCCTACAATTACAGGCAAATACGAATGCAAATATGAACCGCACGGCGTGAGGAGAGTCCTCAAACGGTGGCGATTTTACTTTAGCTTGGTTTTATCCAGATGGACATTTTAACGAAGGTAAAGAGAGCGTTGAACTGAACGTGTAGAACAGCACATCGTCTGCATAAATGAACAGTCGGAGCAAAAAGCTTGCTTGCATAGCAACACGCAACTCACATTTGTTGCACATTTGTTTTGATTTTTTGTAGCGATGACAAGCTTGTAGCACAGTTGTCACACTTGGTTGAAATACAGCAACAGGCCCTTAGCAGAACAAACACACAACTTTTAAATCTACAGCTTTGGAGAGTTGTTATTTGTGCCAACTTTGTTTGGAAAAATGCAACATTTAAAGCCATTTACACTTCTTTTTACAAACTTGTTTTTTATCTGCTACAACTCCGGTGACATCAAAGAATAAACCTGTTTTAGTTAAATACTGTTAAATACAGTTAAATACATAGACACCACTCTGTTGTGAAGTAGTACAAAGCCTGAGTGCAAGTTAAATTAACTTTCCTAAAGTTTCTTCAATAAATAGTTGTCTTTTAATAACTTTTCTCCCACCTACAGGAAAGGTGGGCGATCATGTGCTTGCTTTTGTGTGACTGTTTATTGATTAGTTGGTCTGTTAGCAAAATATCTCATGAACCGGTGTATGAATTTAACAAAACTCTCAAATATTCAACATTTGACGTATGCCGACAACTAAACTTTAGAACTCAACCCGATTCATGATGGCCACCACAGCAAACTAAACTTAGCAAACAAATACTGGGCTGGTTTGGGGTGGTGGTGCCAAGTGAGCAAGAGATATTATTTTAAAGGTTAGCCCAAAATAACCACAAATGTCGGTTTTCGTGATAAAAAATAAATTTTACTTTTAAAACTTTGGTATTAAAAATTGTGCAGTCGTTTAAGGAATTCTTTAATTTGGTAAGTTTGGTGGTTTAATGGGCCAGACCTGGGCTGCTTCTGCCCCCAGGCCTTAATTTGTTCATGTTTGACAACAAAAACTGATCATTTGAACGCATCATCATACGGCAGCTCGGTTACCTCACAACAAAAACACACGTGATGACGTCAGGGTGCTCGTGATAGTTAAGCCCCGACCTAACTCCTGTGTCTGTGGAGGGGCTCACCTGGAAGATGAGCACCTTGAAGTTGTTCCTCTTCAGCAGGTGGTTGTGGTTCGCCTCCAGCTTCTTCACCTGGACCGCCTGTCTGTCCAGGCGCTCCTTCACCTCCTTCACGTGCCCGTTCACTTTGCGGGACCTCTCCAGCAGCTTGGTGACGCAGGCGGAGGTGCCCAGGTGGTTCTTGGTCAGCCGGGTCACGTCGCCCTGCAGCACGCGCACGGCCTGCTCCAGGTCGCCCTGGCGCGTCTCCATGCGCCGCTGGTTGTCCTGCACCGACTCCATCATGTTCACCAGCTTGTCCAGCAGCGCCACCACGGTGATGGCGCTCACCTGGCCGGGGCTGCTCGGTCCCGCCGCCGTGGGGCTCTTCAGGCCGAACCGGGACAGGGTGCCGGTGCCGGTCGGGGAGGAGGGGGCGGAGGAGCGGCTCGGCAGGAGGAGCTCCGTGTTGTCGGGCTGCTGCTGCGGGATGGTGTGCATGCTGCCCGAGCCGCTGCTGCTGGCCTCCGCGTGGGTCGCGTCGTCTTCCATGGCTCGCAGGTGGTCCCGGGGTGGGGGGGGGCGTCTCTCACCTGAACTTTCACCTGCGCGAGCTGAGGGACGGATCTGTCACCGACTCCAGCTGCTCACTGACTGAAGGACGGGCTGCGGAACTCCTTGGAGTTGTTTCGGCCTCCACGCCCCTCTCAAACACACACACAAGCGCGCGCGCACAGAAACACGTTGTGAACTTTCAAAACACCTCCCCCTGCGAGCCAAAGGGAGGGGCCAGGTTCTCATGGCAACTGATCAGGCAGACAGTAGCGTGAGCTTGACTAGATCGATACCGCACAACTTTGTATCGATTCTATCCAAAAGATAGATAGATAGATAGATAGATAGATAGATAGATAGATAGATAGATAGATAGATAGATAGATAGATTATGGACTCATTGGCTTTTGAGCCTTTATAGAAAAACTTTTTAATTCTGTTTTTTTTTTATGTTTTTATGTTTTCTATATGGATCTTATATTGTGTCTGAAATAAAGTAAATGATGATGACAGTATTTTCATAAATAATATATGACTGATTGCTGCAACTAATTATTAGTAGAAAGTTTCAAATAAAAAATAAATTATTGTTACCAAGTGAACTTGGGAAAACTAAACCATTAAAACACGGCTATTCAACTGAAGGCCCGGGGGCCAAATCAGGCCCACAGGTGAGCCCACCAAAAAGCTTTGCAGAGAGTGGTGAAGGCTGCACAGAAGACTGTTGGAGTCAGTATCCCCACCATCACAGACGTTTACACCTCCAGATGCAGGAAGAGGGCCACTTGCATCATGAAGGACCCTACTCACCCAGCACACACACTTTTTGCCCCGCGCCCCTCAGGAAGGAGGTTGAGGAGCATTAAGTGTAGAACCACTAGACTGAGGAACAGCTTCTACCCTGAGGCTGTTAGACTCATGTTTCTCTAACCAGAATAATCACTGTGAAAAAATCACATCATGTTGCTGCTGATCTGTTCCATGTTGATGTGTTCATGCATGCTCATGTTCGTGCTGCTGTTCGATGCAAAGTTTTTATGCTGTTAGTGCTTAGTGTATTTTCAGATTATGTTTTTTCTTAGTTCATATAGATGTTATCATTGTTTTTCTTTTACATTTTATTGTTGGCTGTAACTGGGACCCTGTATACATAATTTCGCTCCACCACATGTACCACGTGTGGTGCTAACGACAATAAAGAATCTCTGACTCTCAGACCAATGGGCTGAACTGAGACCATTTTAAATAAAACTGGATTTCAAACCATAAAACAAACTTACTTAATGACAATAACTGCTGTCTATCTGCCTGAGCTCTTGGCTTTCAGTAACTGTGACCCCCTAAGCAGTTTAGTTGAATAACCCTGCATTCAAATCAAGTGAAGAAACCAGCTAAAATATCGATCACATCACATCAGTAATGATCCAGTACCAACTAGAAAAACAAAAACATTTAAAACAGTACTGTATTTATAAATCAGAAACATTTTCATCAGGATACATTAGTTTCACTCCCTCATTCAACCTTTATTTATACAGGTTAATCTCATTGAGCTTCTAGGACTCATTTACAAGAGACCTCATTTTAACAAAGAACAATGACAACAGTAGACAATTGTAAAACATATAAATTGGAGAAAGAAAATGAAAGAAAATTGTATTACAAACCTAAACAAAAACAGATGTAAAGCAATACAGAATACTAAAAACAGCAACATGCCTGTATTTTTGCCATGAACCTACATATTAGTATGAAACGCCCCTATTTTCCTCCCAGCTTGTGTTTTGGAGGTCTGTGTCATGGCATGGGGGCACACACACATGGAAATGTGGAAATCCCTGATTCAACAATGAGCTCATCTGCACTCTGGCATTCTGCCCCAGCCTTTCCCTCTTTCTTTTGCTCAATCTCCCTCTTTGTTGCCGTCGCTGTAAATCTTTTATTCATAGCGGCACAATCAGGTTTTCAGTCTCACATGTTTTAAAGTCAAGTAAAAGTGGAATGTGAGGGCGTGTGGCAGTAAGACTGAATGGATGTCGGTGCACTTGCCGTACTGGTAGAGCAGTGAATGTTTATCTGAAGGATTGATCTTGGTACAGAAAAAAAGAAACAATGCATTCAAATTATGACAAGCCTCTTTTATCACTACATTGGAAAGCAATCAAGCCCCCCCACCTGATTGGTATTGGATTCCTGTGGTGAGGTAAAGGATTGGTCATCCATTGTCTCATGTAGCACACCTATATTGAGATTAGGCTTTTTGTATGTACAGCTTGCTCAAAGAGACACCACACCTTAGAAAAAAACATCTAAAAAGCTTAAACCACAAGACAGAGGTGCAAAACACTGAATTTTATGAAATTGATTCTGGAGTCTTGGTTCATTGTGACTGACTATCTAAAGTTGCATTCTGATTGCAAAATTATACAGTACATGTACAGTATATTTATAGTTTGCTTTATGAGTGATTCTCTCCTTTACGTACTGCATTCACATGAACTTGGGTAAAATCAAAGAGATCGAGGGGGATCAAACGCAACTGAGATTACTGGGAACCCTTGAGGTGAAGCTTGCAGCATTGAACACGTCTAACTGGTTGAGAAACATTTGTTTCACTTTTATACAGTACACAACACTTTAAAAAGCCTAAACCTGACTCAACATCATGTTCTGCATCTCATTCAGCAATATCCTTTGTTACTCTGGGATTACCTTCCAAGTTGGACATATATCTTTGTAATTTTAATTTTACACAACATTAAAACATAGAATCAAACTAGTTGTACCAAAAGTTAATGTAAATGTAGAGGGACACAAAAGACTGTTAATCCTGCTTTGAAGTTATTATACGGACCTATGTATTTATGTTCATACCACCAAGAGAACACTGTGGTTGTGCAATACTTAGGTGACAGTTCGCATCCATGAATCCTTCAGGGGTCTCCACAGTGAGTCATCTCCTCTGTCTCACTCTGTCCTCTGCATCCTCTGTTCTCACTCCAACTACCTCCATGTCCTCTCTAACTGCATCCATATATCTTCTCTTTGTCTTTTTCCTGTCAGCTACATTTCTAACATCCTTCTACCAATGTACACACAGTCCCTCCTCTGGACATGTCCACATGTCCAAACCATCTCAGTCTGGCCTCTCTAACTTTATCTCCCAGTTGTTCAACCTGTGCTGTGCCTCTGATGATCTCATTCCTAATCTTATCCATCCTTGTCACTCCTAAAGCAAAGTGCTATGTGTTGTCATCATTGTATGTTCCCATATGATGAAATTAGTTTTGTGCATTTAACCCATCACACCTGAGATACACCCAAGTGGAGTACTAGGCAGCTATGTAAGCGCCCGGGGAGCAGTTTAGGTGTCTTGCTCAGAGGCATCACGGCATGTGGGCATGGCAGGGAGTTGAAACTGCGACTTTCTGGTCCCAAGTCAACTGCCCCTACCTCTACACCATCTTAGAACCTCAACATCTTCATTTCCGCTACTTCGAGTTCTTTCTCCTGTCTTTTTGTCCATGTTTCTGTCTCCAGACCAGACAACATAACTGGTTTCACCACTGTCGTAAACTTTTCCTTTGACTTTTGCTGACATCCTTTTGTCACAAATCACTCCTAAAACTTTTCTCCATCCATTCCATCCTGCCTGGACCCTCTATTTCACCTCTTTACCACACTCCCCATTTTCCTGGACAGTGGACTCCAAGTACTTGACGTCCTGCACCTTTGTGACCTCTGCTCCTTGTAGCCTCACTGTTTCACCTCCTGCCTCTCATTCACACACATGTACTTTGTCTTACTACGGCTGACTTTCATTCCTCTTCTTTCAACTGCATACCTCCACTTCTCCAAGTTCTCTTCCTCCTGTTTTCTGTTCTCACCACAGATCACAATGTCATCTGCAAACATCATAGTCCACAGGGATTCCTGCCTGACCTCATCTGTTAGTCATTCCATCACCAGAGCAAACGAAGGGGCTCAGAGCTGATCCTTGATGCAATCCCATCTCCACCTTGAAGCTATCTGTCATTCCTACAGCACATCTCACTACTGTCCTGCTCACCATCGTTAATGATGGATATTTGAAGAAGTGTGATTAGGGGAGTGGTGGTGCAGAGATTAGAGAAGGTGGGCCTGCGATCGGAAGATCGCTGGTTCAAGCCCCAGTACCAACAACATCAAAAATGTGGGTGGGGTAGGTGAAGCACCCACACCTGCCCCCACCCTCATTTGTCCCAGTCTGGGCCCTTGAGCAAGGCCCTTAACCCCCACCATCTGCTCCTCCGGGTCTCCTAGATAGCAGCTCTCTACTCCACACAGAGGGCTGTGGTAGCTCGGTGGTCTGTGGTTGCGTCAGGAAGGGCATCCGGAGTAAAAATAACTGCCAAGTCTTTGTGCGACTTAGTTCGACCCCTAACGCAGGAAGCAGCCGAAAAAATAAAAAAAAAATTGAAGAAGTGTGATTGCCGTCATTTGGACATTGGTGCTCATTAGACAGCGAATAACTTTCAAAGATGAGTATCTATCTATCTATCTATCTATCTATCTATCTATCTATCTATCTAT